CGCTTGCCGCTATACTACCACACGCTGCACATTCCTTCGCAATCACACCGGCAACGGCTACCGTACTTTCCCCGTAGCGACCAGTGCGTAATACGGCAGCCATCGCCCATCGTGCCTAGAATACGTAAGCGCGGTAACCTTCCGGGCAATTACTACTCTCCGATCCTCCACGTCACGCCACGCCATCAATATTTAACTAGAGAGTACGCGCAGAGAGAGAGGTCATCGCAGCGAATCTTAAATTCGAAATTTTTTATTTCTACTATATAACCCTAGTATAATCTATGCCTAGAATACGTAAGCGCGGCAGCCTACCGGGGAAACTACTACTTCTCTCTCTCTCTCTCTCTCTCTCTCTCTCTTCTCTCTCTCTCTCTCTCTCTCTCTCTCTCTCTCTCTCTCTCTCTCTCTCTCTCTCTCTCTCTCTCTCTCTCTCTCTCTCTCTCTCTCTCTCTCTCTCTCTCTCTCTCTCTCTCTCTCTCTCTCTCTCTCTCTCTCTCTNCAGTCCGGCTCAAATGTTACCAGTACCAGACCGGGAGATTGGCTGCTACTTCCAACACTGAGGAAAAACGCCCGATTTCCGCTTCTCATTTATTTAGCGAGAAGAAGAAAAAAAACATTGTCCATGTAAACTCACTATTATCACAACTGCTACCGACCATTTTTCGGAGCGAGTGCGGCCAGACCACGGCAGCAGTCTCTGTAACCGCTCTGCTGCTCCAGTGCCCCACACGAGTTATAAAACGAACAAGGAGGGCCGGGTAGACACTACAGGTCGTAGTTCCTAATTCCCCTTTCACCCCTTCTCACTGATTCCAATGGCAACACATCACTATCACAATACACTCCCGAACACGACTGTAGCTAGCTAGCACACGAGAGGAAGCCAAAACATGAGTGAAAGTGGAGAGGCGGGCGGGGGGCGTGGCCGACTCCCGGAAGCTGGGTTTCCGATTCATAAACGTGAAGGGAAATGGGCGTCCACTTTAACTTGGGTGGGATGATTCGTCGATACATCAATGTATCGCGATACACATTTCGCCGATACACGCATCGATGTTTCTGACTATTCACGATACACGTATCGATACTCTACTGAATAAAATGAGAAGTAGATCATAGGGATTCCATATTATCTACTTCTGATAAAATCCATATCATTCGGTAGCATAGTTTCACCAGAATACAAAAGCAGTGTATCATGATAAATATCACATCGTGAAGGCTGTATTGTGACGCATATCTTATCGTGAAGGGTGTATCGTAATAGATATCATACCGTGAAGGCTGTATCGCAATACGCATTGTATCGTAAAGACTGTATCATGATACGTATATCGCATCGTGAAGAGTGCATCGTAATAAGGATCGTATAATGAAGGGTGACAGTGTATCATGAAAGCTGTATCATGATACGGATCATATCACGAAGGCTGTATCATGATACGGATCATATCACGAAGGCTGTATCGATATGATACGGATCATATCACGAAGGCTGTATCATGATACGGATCATATCACGAAGGCTGTATCATGATACGGATCATATCACGAAGGCTGTATCATGATACGGATCATATCACGATGGCTGTATCATGATACGGAGCATATCACGAAGGCTGTATCATGA